ATAGTGGATGCTGTCATTGGACCAGGTTGAAAATTTTCCTAGATGGTGTGATATCCGCCAGAAGTCAGAAGTAACTGAACAGATGTGCAAACTTGGGACAGGCTATGTGCTTTGCTGCCAAAGTATCACACTTTAAACGGTGTTCCGCTGAAGTTAGTGAATGTCCATGTTAATACTCAATAATTACTCTTTGTATTTTGTTCTGATATTTGTAAATTTATGTAAATAAGCTAGATGCAACAAGGAGAGCCATAATTCAAGTTGGAGATCGGTTTCAAACTCCTGTAGCTGCACTGGACTAAAAGGGAAACTGTATTTATCAGCTTTTCTTTAGTACAACAAGATAGCCATGATTAGCTGCAAGTCCAGGGGAGATGATTCAGGCTCTGATGAAGGTGCCATGGTAGGGTGGCACACGTGCAGAGGAGGGGGTCCCATGGCGTGCTCAGGTTCACAGAGCAGGTGGATCCACACCCAGGCTTAATGACGGCCTCTTGTGAAAGCTCAGGTAGTCATATACAGAACCTGCCTTCCCAGGACATGTGTGCAATGGCCCACAGCACCTTGAACCCCTGCTCCTGAAGCTTTCACTACTTCCGATGCTACCACTGTGAGTACCAGATGTCTAACACACTGGCCTCTGAGGGACACTCAGCATTAAGACTATAACAGAGAATCTTTGTTTTGTTTTGGTTTTTGACTTTTTTTTTTAAGTAGATAAGTCTTAATTCAGAACCAAAGAATGCAAAGCCTTTTAGTCTTTTTGTCTTCTTAAATTCGAAGCTTGAGCCTATGGTCTTATCACTTTAGTGTAGACATGGGTGTTTCTGTCCATGGGAGGAGCCTGAAGGTTTGAGGTAAGCTTTTCATGCTGGATGTTGAAATGGCTTACGTGGCATTCTCTAAGTGTTATACTGAAAACTGGTAAGGAGAGAGTGGTGGTTGTGGCAACCTTGTGGTCATTTTGTGCCTTAATGAATTGTAACAAAGACCATGCCAAAATCATACCCATGCACTTTTGACATGTTCAGAATTTGAAGTATTCTGTTACCATTTATTATGAAGCACCTCACAGCATAGTGCTAGAGCAAGGAAAATTCAATACCTAGCACTTATGTCTAAGGAAAGAAGTAGAGAGGGGCTAGTCTTGTGGCTTAGCATACTAATCCTGTGCCTGTAGTGCCATTGTCCCATGTGGGCTCTGGTTCTGTTCCTGGCTGCTCCATTTCCGATCTAGCTCCCTGCTGGTGGCCTCCTGGCAGAGGACAGCACAAGTCATTGGACTCCTGCACCCGTGTGGGAGACCCTGAAGAAGCTCCTGACTCCTGGCTTCAGATCAGCTAAATTCTAGTTATGGCCATTTGGGGAGTGAACCAGCAGATGGAAGATATCTTTGTCCCTGTCTCTATCTCTTCTTTCTGTAAATGTACTGTTCAAAGTATAAAAATATAAATAAAGAAATAAAGAGAAAGGAAGGAAGGAAGGAAGGAAAGAAGGAAGGGAGGGAAGGGAAAGGAAGGGAATGAAAGGAAAGAGATAGATGGAAGGAGGGAGGGAGGGAAAAGAGGAAAGAATGGAGGAAGAAAGGAAAGGGAGGAAGGGAAGAAGTATAGGATTGGAGGAGAAGCAGAGAATGAATAGGATCCAGAGACTCCTGTTCTGCAAGATGTTAAGAGCGCCTTGCACATGTTTGTCATTGCCTTTATTCCAACTGAAAAGAGGGGAGAGCAAGTGGTAAGGGAATTCAGTGTTCTATGTTTCCACTGTAGAAAAATATATATTGTGTTGTTGCTCAGATTTTACACACACACACACTATGTTTGTGATCCCTAACATCACTGCTCTTTGATGGTATTCAGCATAAAATAAGGTAAATAGACAAATAAATGTAGCTTCTATTTTTAAAGAACTTGCAGTCTTGGAACAAAAATCAGACTGACTAAAAATTAAGGCCAATGTAAAATAAACGTGATTGAAGAAACATTAAAAGTGTACAGTACCATGCACATTATTCTTTCTGAATTATATGGAAGATTAAATAGTGAAATGTGATGTTAAAATAGGGATTGTTAAAAAAATAATTAAAGGGTCATTTGTTTGTTTTATGGAATATTACCATTATATGAAAATATGTTTTACTATCTTTTGCTACTTACCATAATATGTTTTAAAGTGTTATGATTGTGTTTTAGTGCATAACATTAGCTGCTCTGAGTTTATAGCTTAGAACTGTTTAAATATTAATAGATCTATTAACAACTAGGAGGCTGTGGAATATGCAGCAGTTAATTTTCTTTATTTTTCCTTTTATGATATACGGTGTCAGGCTACATGTAGTGACATAAAATTTTAAAAAGTGAAGCCAAGCTATTTTTATTAAGTTACATCTTTTTGTTGAAGTCATATGTCATAATTTTGTTTTGCAACCAAGATGGATGTATAGTTTGAAATCTGAATCTTGAGCACTAGTTAGTTCTCTAAGAATTCAGTTTAACTCCAAAGGCAATAATCTTATGTTAGAGCAGATGCTGTAAGTTCAAACCTCAGTGCCATAGTACTGCCTCCGTTTCAGATGCCATGCCCAACAAGTGCCAGATTGCCGCTGGTACTTCTGACTCACTAGGTATTCCTACAACTCCTTCTTCAGGGTTGATAATTATCCAGGGCAACTTTTAGAACTCAGAAAATGCTTTGCTTGCTGTAAAAGGTGTAGTTCAGGAATACCCAAATGGAAGATGCCTCAGTGTGTGGAGATAGAGTCGGGTGGCACAGTTTGTACACTGACTTACTGCACTACTTTCTGAGCAAACCTCTGTGTTCACTCACTAGGGCACTCTCAGGATCTCTGTTTAAAAAATGTTTATAACCCATTGTCCAGCACTGCTCTTCCCTTGAGGCCTGACCTTGAGATGTGCTTTAGAGTCCCATCTTGAGGTGACCAACTTCATCCTATAGGGGTGATCAACATCCCTGTCCCCTGAATCTCGTTCATATATGCTCAGGAGTGGTCGAAAAAGACTTGTTGAAGTAACAATACACATTCCTGTCATTCAGGAAATGACAAACCTTTTAGTCCCTCTGTTCCAGGAAACTGCAACAAAAACCAAATTTATATTTTCAATTATGCTACCCTAGACATTAGAAAATGTATGTGTTAATAAAATTCTGTTATCTTAACAGTCGTGCTTTTAGCATCTGCTGTGCACCTGTGTTAATTATCTGGTTAAAATTTAACTTACTGCTTTGGTTTGAATACAGGTTTTTTTTTTTTTCTTCCAAAACTTACATTGAAATTTGATTGTATTGGGAGATAGGGACCCTTAAGATCAGATTACATAAACACAAAGAACTAATGCCTTTTGTGTATCTTCTCTAACACTATTTATTTATTTATTTTTACTAAAAAGGCAAACTTGAAGTGAGTAAGAGACACAACACACGCACAAAGAGAAAGAGAGACAGAGAAACAGAAGTATTCCGTTTGCTGGTTCACTCCCCTGATGACTGAGGCTAAGCCAATCTGAAGTCGGCAGCATGGAGCTTCTTTCAGATCTCTCACATGGGTTCAGGAGCCCAAGGCCTTAAGCCATCCTCTGCTTTCCCAGGTCATAAGCTGGGAGCTACATCGGAAGTGGATGGGACATGAACCAGTATCTGTATGGGTTGGCAGTACTGCAGCAGGAGGATTAGCGTGTTACACCACTGTGCTGGGCTGGCGATTCATGTATCTTCATTGCTGATGTGTTTAATCAAGCCCTTTGACAATTTTTAAATGGGATTGTCTTTTGTTCTTGAGTTGTAAAAATACCTTCTATCTTCTGAATACCAGAGTCATCACATATATAACTTGCAGTATTTTCTCCCTTTCTGTATATTGTCTTTTCCCTTGATTATGTTCTTTGATGTGGTGGAATGTGTAATTTTCAAGCAGTTACTCCTATATATTTGTCAGGGCCCCTCATTATGGCATAGTCCATCAAGCTTCCACATGTACCACTGACATCCCATATGGTGCTGATTCAAGTCACAGCTGCTCCACTTCTGATCCAGCTTCCTGCTAATGGCCTAAGAAAAGAATAAAGCTCAAGTACTTCAGCCCCTGCACCCGTGTGTGAGACCCCCCTGAAGCACCTGCTCCTTGCTTTAACCTGGCCCTGTGCTGGCACTGCAGACATTAGGGAAGTGAACCAACAGATGGGAAGTCTCTCCTTGTCTCCCTCTCTCTGTACATTGATTTAGTGTTATGAAGATCACTGATTCAAGACCTGGAGTGTTTGCGTACAAATTTGGGATTACTATTTAGCTGCTAGTGTGACCTAGGTCCATCAGACCTGGGGTAATCCTTTAGCTCTTCAAAAGGGAGCACTGAAGAATCCAATGCGTTAAGAGAAATTAGAAAGACATTATAATTGATTGGGTACCAGTGGATGTTTTACATATTGTTTACTCATTTAAAATTCATTCTTCATGAATAGTAATACAATGAGTTAGACTTAGCATGTCAACTTTTTTTACAAGATACAATATCTTAATATCTTGTGTATCTGTGTAATTATCAAATATCAGAGGTGGGATTCCAACTTTGATCTGCCTCATTGGAATGGTTACTCTTGTTATGACTTACTGTAGGAAAAAGTATTTAGTAAATATATGATCTGTGTGTGAGAGAGATGTACTGCATTAAACATTATTAATTATTACTAATCAATCGATGATAGTAATCAGTTCCTTAAGATATGTTGTATAATGATTTAATGTTTACGTTTGGTTAAACCTTCAACTACAGGCGTATCTAACAAAATTCCATCTTCTGTCTGTTCTTCATATAGTTATAATGCAAGTTTTAATATTTAGCAATTTAATGTTAAACTGAAAGAAAATTTTTTGCATCTATATAATTCTGCTTCTTTTTTTTGATCTTGGGAGCTTTAAGTCTAATATTTTAAAGTATGTTAAAATTGTACAACTCATTAATTTGGGTTCTTTTGTAATTTTCTCAGATGTAATAAAGGAACAGAATCGAGAATTACGAGGGACGCAGAGAGCTATAGTCAGAGACCGAGCAGCTTTAGAGAAACAAGAGAAACAGCTGGTAAGTAGAACATTACATTTCAGTGTAACTTTTCAAACAAATTTGGAAATTATTGCAGTAATTAGCTAACTAGCAAAAAGGCACATGACAGGTGGTAAGTAATTTGCTTGACTAAAACATGGCATTTAATGCCTTCCTGTGTTTTCTGCTTACCTTTCTTTATTGTGTCAGCCTGCTGACTTTTATTGGGATTCTTTTGGTGTATTATGCTGATTATGGGACCAAATTATTCTTCAGGCTGCATACCTCATAAACGCCTACAAGGAAATATTGCATAAAACAGAACCGACTTCTTACTTTGAAGCATAGATAAAATAATCATGGGAAATGAGAGAGTAGCAAAATATAATCACATGAATTGTTGGGTGTCTTGCTTCGCATTTAAAGATAGTGTCTAAGACAGCGGATTTGCTTTTGTTTTTCTTGTTAGACTACCCTGACTTATCTTTAAACGTTTATGTTATCTTTTAAATGTATGGTGAGGCATATTGGCAAGCCAGCATATAACATGTTTAAGTGTAATGTGTTTAAGTGTGTACATGTGTATTAACTCGTGGAATCGTCCCTGTAGTCAAATGGGCATTTCCACCACCCCCAGAGGTTGCCTTATGCTCTTGGGGTGCCTTCTACCAAACCCTTCTTGTCCCTCCTCTGCCCAGTGAATCAAATACTGATGACACTGTAAATTAGTTTATATTTCTCGAATTTTGTATTAGATTGTGAAATATGAACTTTTAAAAGTGTAATATCTTTTGCCTGGTGTATTTATTTTTAGGTTACCCTGTATTATCATATGTACTAATATTAATTTTTATTAGTGATTATCATTCCATGTGTGGATGTTTCATGGCTTGTTTCGCCATTTACCAACAAGTGAATTTTTTTATATTGCTTCAGATTTTGTTCAGTTGAAAATAAGTAGTCTTTCTGTGAATGTGTTTTATTGGGTCTATTTTTTATTGTTATTGTTAGTTTCCATGATCCTTCTCCACTTTTCCCTTCTTCCTTCCCCTCTCTCTCACAGCACTATTTTTTCCCATATTATTTCCAACAGCGGAGTCCTTCCGCAACAGTTGTAAGTCCAACATCCTGCTGTTTATGTGTATCATGGCATTGTAGGTATAGGCAGTGGTAGAAAAGCTAGTATTATATTGTCAAAGTATATTTAGCAGTTTCATTGGGAGTCCTCCTTTCATTCAGGAGTAAAGCTGCATGCTGTAACATATCTTCCTTCCTGATGTGCTACTCTCAATTGTACAGTTCATCCCTGAGAATGTATGTGTATACATGTTTACATATATATCTGTTTGTTTTGTGTTATCCTGAGAATGAGATTGTCGGTTTGTAGGGTAACTACGTGTTAAAGTGTTTGAGAAAGTGCTAAGCAAATCCCAAAGTAGCTGTAATGTTTTCTCCTGCTGGCGACAGTTGTTCTACATATTGATTCGATGGGCTTTACTTTTAGCCATTTCTAGTGACCTTTCGGTCGTTTTAAACCATATTTCCCACATCACTATTGATATTGAGAATCTTTAAGCACCTGTTTGAAGTTTGCATATCTTATCTGCTAAAGTGTCTATTCAAATATTTCAGCCATTTTTTACACCAAGATATTCAGTTTTAACAGTTTCTTATGTAGTATGAATAGAATTGCTATCTCCAATTCCCTGATCTCTTTCATTTTCTTAAGTGTCTTCTGAGGAACAAAAGGTTTTTCTTTCTTATGTGATCAAATATACTATATTACTATTTTCTCCTGTTTCTATAACTTTTACTGTCCTAAGAAACCTGTGTAACCTAAAAAAGGTCTAAGTGTTTTCTCTCATGTTGTTGTTTTTTCTTTCTTTTTCACGAAGCAATGGTATGTTGGTCTTGCACACATTTTGCTACATTTAATCTGATATATTTTATAGTTTTTAATGTCAAATTCAGGGCCCAGTATAGTAGTGGTTAAAGTCTTTGCCTTGAATGCTCCGGGATCACATATGGGTGCCGGTTCTAATCCCAGTGGCCCTGTTTCCCTTCCAGCTCCCTCCCTGCCTGTGGCCTGGGAAAGCAGTTGAGGATGGCCCAGTGCCATGGGACCATACACCCATATGGGAGACCTGGGGAAGGCTCCTGGCTCCTGGCTTCGGATTGGCACAATTCTGGCCATTGCAGTCACCTAGGGAGTGAACTATCAGTTGGAAGATCTTCTTCTCTATCTCTCCTCCTCTCTGTATATCTGCCTTTCCAAAAAAAATAAATAAATAAATCTTAAAGAGTAAATTCAATTTCTAATTTTTATTGCTAATATATGTCACATTTTTGTATTTTCTTCTTAAACCCTATAACCTGTAAACTTCCTAAACTCATTTATTACTGTAATCTGTTCTGCAGACTCCATGAGATGTTTTAGAAGATCATGTCATCATGAATAAATGAAACTTAGTGTCTGTCTTTCTAATCTTCCAAATGTTCTAGGGGTAGGTGTTTTGGCTAAGCGGGTTAGACTCATGCTTGGTACATCTAAGTCCCGTGTAAATGCTGGGTGCTCATCAAATGAATATCTTCTTGCAGCACCTACTTTGTATCTCACTCCAAGAGTTGTTCTGTGATACATACACATGTATTTAGGATTGTTCTGACTTAATTAGGTTGAGATTCCTTGGTTCTTTTTCATTTCTGACAATAGTTCTTATTTTCTTAGTCTCAAATTTATTTGACTTGAATTTCATACAGCCACTCCAGATTCTCAGATTTTGATAAATATGTATATAAAGTAGTTTAATAATGTTTGCCATTCTTTTACCTATATTTGTTTTTATGCTGAGTGTTGATTTGTACAGGTAGTACATTATTAGGATTGATTTATTACATAATCTGACAATTTGCTATCAATGGATATAGCATATGGAGCATTTCACTTAAATAATTATATTAACTTTAATTCTACCACCATTTTCATTTCTTGTCCTCTTCTGTTTATCAATACTGACTTTTAGATGGATTTTTTTAAAGATTTACTTACATTAATCGGAAAAGCAGATTTACAGAGAGAGACAATGATCTTCAATCTACTGCTTCATTCCCTAAATGGCTGCAGTGGCAGGAGCTGAGTTGTTGTGAAGCCGAGAGCCAGGAGCCTCCACTAGGTCTCCCATGCAGGTGCAGGATCGCAAGGCTTTGAGCCATCTTCTGCTGCTTTCTCAGGATATAAGCAAGGACCTGGATTGGAACTTGAGTAGCTAGAACATAAACTGGTGGCTATATGGGATCACGGTGCTTGCAAGGTGAGGATTTAACCAACTGAGCCATGTCACCTGGATCTGGATGGATTTTTTTCCCTTTCTGGGGACTAACATATTTGCATGGTGGGTAAAGCAACTGCCTACAGTGCCAGCATCCCCTAGAGTTTCAGGTTTGATTCCTAGCTGTTCCACTTATGATCCTGCTCCCTGCTAAATGCACCCAGGAAAGCAGTGAAAGATGGCCGTAGTACTTGGTCCTCTGACCCACAGAGTGGGGCTAGGAAGAAGCTCCTTTCTCCTGGCTGGTGCCAGTATTTGCAAGCACTAGCAAATGGAAGCCTCGCTTTCTCTCCCTCTCTGTATAACTCTGCCTTTCAAGTAAATAAGTAAATAAGTAAATGTTTAGACTTTTTTCTCTGGATTTTTTTTTTCTTCTGAGTTCTATCTTAGAGACATGCTTTATTTATGCAGATAAAAGTAATAGTTTATTTTCTGTGTAAATATGTGGAAAACATTGTCACAAATTAGTCTCATGATCATGGAGACTACATATTATTGATATAACATCTATTCATCTGTAATGAACTCTTGAGAAATAGTCATCGGTTAACTCTCTCCTTTTGATTTTCCATTTTAGGAACTAGAAATTAAGAAAATGGCCAAGATTGGTAATAAAGATGCTTGTAGGGTTTTAGCCAAGCAACTTGTGCATCTACGGAAACAGAAAACAAGAACTTTTGCTGTAAGTTCAAAAGTCACTTCTATGTCCACACAAACAAAAGTGATGAATTCCCAGATGAAGATGGCCGGAGCGATGTCTACTACAGCGAAAGTAAGTCAGGGCCTTTGGATTCACCACTTTACAGTTTTATTACAGATTCTTTATTTGTTTATTTGAATCAAATATAAAAGTACCTCCTGGTTATGTAAGTATGGTACAGAATCTGTCTTATTTTTATTGTAGTAGTTGTAGTACTAGATAAATCAAATAATTCTAGAATCTTTTGATGCTGCAATATAAAATTTCTTGCTTTTGGAAATTTTATTTCCAAAACTAAGCTTCTAAGTTTATTAATTTGAAATAAGCAGTGTTTGTCTTTTCCCTTAGATTTTCAAAAGGTTGAGCTGCTGCTTTTATTAACATGTTAAGTTCTAATTTGTGATAGAGTAGCCGTTTCCTCTTGATTCATTTTTTTTCTGAACATGTCAGAACACAACTTAGGTTGCAGGATTCATCAGTTAATGTTTTCTTAGGAATTATGCTTTACTTTTTTTCTACATATATATAATCACTTAATTATGATGTTTCAAAATGCATCTTTTGAAAATTTAATAAATAATGAGTGTTTTGTAGTATTTGAAACACTATGAATAATCCATAGAGATTTAAGGTAGAGATCCTGTTTTTACAGATACTGCAGTTCAGTTGGGTAGAGTTTAAGATCTACTAGAGTAGAAAGTTACCCCACTGTGCAAACTGTACCGCTGTATCGCCACCCGTGAGCTCACCACTCTTTGGATAAGAGATCCAAAAGACATTACAGAAGGCCAAAGTCTGAAAAAAACCTTATGAGGTGTTAGCTGTGGAGAAATTATGAAAAACTAAATGCAAAAAAGAAAACCATAGAGAAAGTACACACTTTGTCAGGAGAATTGTATGTGTATGTAAATCTTGTTTTTCATGGTTGTTAAGTTCTATGAGGTCGAAACACTGGAATTTGGATGACTTAACCATTGCTTCTAGGGGTGATACGGTTTTGTTTCTTTTGAGGATTCATGACAACATTTTATCAACCAGTCTATACAAAACCTTTTTCTTCTGTTTGAAAACACCATATTTGATCCATATTGGTGATTCATTAACATCTAGGTCACAAACAATAGCATGATATGTCAGCCTCAAGGAAATATATCTCACATTATGTCTTTTCTGCATTAGGCATATCATGCTTTCCTTCATTTAAGAATACTTGGTGACACACTGATAGTGACCAAAAAAAAAAAAAAAAATGACACTGAGCAGGTTCCCTGAAGAGGAAAATTGGCTGTAGTATCAAGGTTAAGAAGGAAGAGCATCATCTTGTTTGATTTCAGCTGGGAAAATTTATGTTGGGTTTCTTGGATTTTTTTTTTGTGTGTGTGTGTGCTCTTTGCCCATTCAATAATGAGCTTTGAAGCACTGCACATACTGATTTGAGAGTGTAGTATTTAGCAGGTGGGAAAATTCACAATGAATTAGAATCAACTCTCATTATTTTTATATTATAGTCATATGGAAGTGGAAAGCATCTATTTTACAAGTTAAGGAAGGATGTTTGGCCTCACAGCTAAGATGCTGAAAAAGGCATACATGTATAGAATTAACATACCTGCCTGGGTTGGATATTCAGCCCCAGCTCCTGACTACAGCTTCCTGCTGGCGGTGATGTTGACAGACAGTGGCAGTGGGCCATAATAATTGCTTCTCGCCACCCAGGAAGCAGATCTGAAAGGAGTTCCTAGCTGCCGGCATTGGTGTGGCCTAGTCCCAGGTGTTTTGGGCAATCAGAGAGTGAACCAGTGAATGAGAGCACTATGTGTACATGTGCATGTGCTTCAATTAAAACAATATATATTTATATTTATATTATATATGAGTATGCATATATGGATGAGCATATATAGATGGCCTAGCAGTTAAGAACATTTCTAAGGTACTGTTCCATATCAATGTGTCTGGAATTGATTCCCAGCTCCACCTCCCAAGCCCATCTTCCAGGATGCACCCTGGGAGGTGGCAGGTGTGTTGCTGTGTGATTGTGGGTCCCTATCAATCATATTGGAAACGGGGATTGAGTTCAGTTTGGGGAGGAACCAACTTGATGGGAATTCTGTCAGCTTATCTTTGTGTCTGATTACCTTTCTGTCTTTTTGTATCTTAAAGTTAAAAAAAACTAGAGAAATACATTCAGTGTAAGTTTTCTCCACTAATTCACTGTTGATGGAACTTAATGATTTTAAAGTGAAAAATACATAGTTAAAGCAAGAAACTTTTGTTTTTCTTTTTTGATTTTACAAATAGAAGTAAATATTTTTCTTTGACTTCAGGAAAAGATTGTGTGTGAAAATCACATACCCAGGCTGGCTATTTTAGAAAAGTAACTGAGGAAGGTTGCTCATTTATAGTTTACCACAAGGGGTAGGCTAAGGAAAGATGCCGCCTGTGGCCCTGCTGTGTACAGATATTCTCACTCACATTCTCTCTTGGATTGTGTGGAACCTTGTGACCCCAGAAAATATTTGTTTATATGCTTCAGTAAGAACCATAAAAATTATGAGCATGATGGGCCCAGCATTTTAGCCTAGTGCAACTGCCACGTCCCCTATAAGCGCCGGTTTGTGTCCTGGCTGTTCCATTTCCCATCCAGTTCCCTGCTTGTGGCCTGGGCAAGCAGTGGAGGACAACCCAGAGCCTTGGGACCCTGCATCCATGAGGGACAACTGGAAGAGGCTCTTGATTCCTCACATTAGATCAGGTCAGCTCTGGCCATTGTGGCCACTTGGGGAGTGAACCAGCAAATAGAAGGTCTTTCTAGGTCTCACTTTCCCTGTATATCTACCTTTCCAATAAAAATAAATAAATCTTTAAAAAATACATATGAAATGGAAAATAGCAGGAAAGAGCTTAACCTTCATGGACTTTAGTTCATTTATAGAACACTTAACAGGTTTTGCAGTTTATTGATAGAACAACACTTTTACCAGGTTTTTGCATAGTTTCCAAATTTAAGCTCTGGGTAAGACTGCTTGGGTTCAGATCTCACTTCATTCCATAGCAGTGTAACATTGTATAAATTATTCAGCCTTTGCATTCCTATGCTTTCCATTTGAATACTATAGAGAAAATGGTAGGCCTTTGTTCCTAAAACTTGTCCAGTTTCAATAGCATTTAGTGTGACATTAAGTGCTTAGACAGTGTGTGGCACAGAGATTTTTACAGACATTAGCTTCTTTTTATCGGCATGAGTATTAGAGTATAGTACAATAAGGGAAATAAAAGATTAGCTTACCTAGAGGGCAGTGATGCAAATCGAGACTGCCTAGTTAAGCGGAGTTCATGTGAAGATGTTAGGGCTCCTAGGCCACGCATGGTGTTGGGGCAGTGGAGTATCACTTGAAAATTTACTTGGCTGCAGCGAAGCACTGCATAGAGATTGAGAAAGGCTACATTGGCTTCCTACCCCTGGCACCAACACGCCTTTGCTGCGGTGTATTTTAACCTGCTGAGTTAACTATATAATAAATGCAAATATACACACAAGACAATATATAGTTAAAATGTATCATTTACAAAATAAATTATGTTCATAGTGAATAGAATTAATCTTTTAAAATGAAATAATTTTCAGTCCTAAACTGTATGAAAATTTTCACATTTTTAGAAAAATTTAGGGACTGGTATGGTAGCCTAGTGGCTAAAGTCCTCTCCTGCATGTGCCAGGATCCCATGTGGGTGCTGGGTTCATGTCCCGGCGGCGGCTTCACTTCCCTTCCAGCTCCCTACTGTGGCCTGAGAAACAGTTGAGAATAGCCCAAAGCCTTAAGACCCTGGACCCACGTGAGAGACCCAGCAGAAGCTCCTGGCTCCTGGCTTTGGATCAGCTCAGCTCCAGCCATTGTGGCCACTTAGGGAGTGAATTGAAGGATGGAAGATCTTTCTGTGTCTCTCCTTCTCTCTATGAATCTGACTTTCCAATAAAAATAAATACATTGTTAAAAATTTTGTTTATCGTTTTAAACCATGGTTAAATGCTTTTTAGATCAAATTTGTTTATTATATATTCTCTAATCCCTTTGTTAAAAATTTTAATGAATGTTTAAAAATTATTTTAAATTTAGATATTGCACACCATATAACAGGTGAATTAAATTTTCACATTTGAATAGGAATAAATTTTGTGTTGATAATGGTTCTTTCTGTGTTGTTTGTTCAGATGAGGTTTTTCATGTTGGTTTTTATTATGTAGATGTTAAACAAATGGCTTCCAAATAGGAGCTGATTTTTTTTCTAGAACACTTGGCAATTTTTATTTGATTGTGACAGGATGTGTAGCTTTTAAAAGTCTGTGCGTGTTTGGTGTGTTTACTTTGACTTTGTTCCGTAGTAAAGCTTCCATGATGTGTAGCTCATGTGCATCTTTTCATATATTAAAGACAATGCAAGCAGTTAACAAGAAGATGGATCCACAGAAGACATTACAAACAATGCAGAATTTCCAGAAGGAAAACATGAAAATGGAAATGACTGAAGAAATGAGTAAGTTTAATAAGCTGTAGTGAAATTTACAGCTTTCTCATTTTTTGAGTTAACCAAGGTGACTTGCTAGCAAGCTCGTTTTCTTATTCATGAAGATAGAAATGGTTAAATAAGAAATGATAAGGACAAGCTTGTAGGAAGACCCTTATGCCAAAGCTTCAGTGCATTTTCAAGTTGGTAATGTGTAAGGCACAGGATTCTATTAATGTTTAACTGAGGGAAAATTTATGTGTTATGCTTTGTTTCTGTTCCACATTAGTCTCAGCAATTTTGTTTTATTGATTCCTGCACCCAAAGCCGGTGTGAGTGAAGCACTTCTCACGGTTACAGTTTCAGAGCAATAATGACTCGTTCTTTACAAGATAGGTTTTCACTGAAGATGGACATATTGAAATTCCTCTCCCACCACCTAAACTAAAAATATTTAGTATTGTTTCTCTTTTTTGAATATAAAGTAATCGCAAGTTAGGTGGAAATATGGAAAATATAAAGAAAAACAGAACGTGTTAAATGATTATCCTGCCACAGTGTCCGGTGATGATGTGGGACATTTATGTCCTTTGTTTGCCCATTGTTTTATAAAAGTGCTTTTAAAGTGTCACCTGTACAGTGGTGAATCTTAACTTGTGTTTTAATAATATGAGTGTGGCAAGCATCTTTTCGGAAGTCTTTTTAAACAAAGCTTTAATATCATATAACATTTGTATACCCAAATTTATCACACTGTTCATGTTGTTCAACAGAATTGCTTCAAAATTTTCTTTGTACTTGATATTAGTTGGCATAATATGCTTATGTATTTGTTTGATCAAATGTTTTAAAAATACCTTTAGACTATTAACTAAGTTTGATAAAGTTTTTGTTTTTCTTCCCAAAAAGATTACACAAAAAAATTTCATTTCACTAAGAACAGAACTCTAACTCTGGTCAACAGTGAATTGTTGCTTATTTGTTAGAAGTTCCCATTATGGTTGTAAAAATAAATTTTATAATTTTTTTCAACTATGCAGGGACATGCCAGTTTACATAAACATATATATTGGTGTTTTACTTTAACAGCATTCAGTGTAAAAATAATATAAAAGTTCTTTAGATTTTACTATAAGCCTCTAGACTAAAAAATATGATTTTATTCCAGTTCCTCAAAACATTGTCAGTAGATTTTTAATGACTGGGAAAATTGCTATTTATATAATGACCATAGTATCAAGCAAAGCTATTACAGATGTGAGTGGATCTTATAGCAGAAATTAGTTTTTCATCATGCTGTGATTGAAAGTCAGTAGGTCCTCCTAAATCTATATTTCAGTACTCTACAAAAGAGCATGTTTTCATTGAAAACTAGATTCAGAGTGTAAGGTGACATACCTTTTTTCAAATTAGAATTCGTTGAATACAGTATTTACTTATTGACTATTTGAGAGGCAGAGAGACAAGGAGACAGTTACAGAGGTCCGTAACTCTTGTTTCTTCTGTAAATGTTCACGATGGCCAGGCTGAAGTGAGGCTGAACTCAGGAGCCGGGCACTCAATATCCCACATGTGTAGAAAGAATTCAGTTACAGGAACCGTCACCACTGCCTCCTGTGGCCTACACTGGCAGGAAGATGAAGTCCAGTTCTGCTATTGCTACCCAACACAGCGCACTCCCATGTGTGATGTTACTATCTTAACTCCTAGCCCAAACACTTGGTCCTACTTAGAATTTATGTTTTGTCATGTATCTCCTTGTTTTTTGTTCTGTTTTGTTTTGTTTTAATTCAAGTTTTGGAAGCAAGAATCTTGGGACCTAATCATATCTAATCATTTTCTTATGTATTTATCCAAAATAATATGTGTGAATCTGTGATTACACCTTCAGCTCTCCCTTTATTTGATTATTTTCTGCAACAGTTCTTCATTCAGATCTTTGTGAACTCTGAGCTGCATTTTCCAGCTCCCTTGTTCCTTCACTCTACAATCCAGATGACACACTGATAAGTTATTTTTCCAGAAGGTTACTTTTGAACATGTTGATAGGCTATTTCTGTGACTACCTACTCACCAAAAAGTGAATTGACAAATCGTAATTTAAAAAAAAAATCTGGTTAATTCCCTTTGACTCTCCTTCAAAGATGAATGGGCACTTTGATACTGACTGGAATTCACATATTTTTTTCATTATATTTCATCAAAAGTGAAGTTCCTTTTTTTTTCTCCATAAGCCTTTTTCAAAATCACTTTACACAGTTTGACTAAAATTGTCAAATCATGTGCATTGAAATCAGAGATCTTAAAATCGAGCCTTATGATTAATGTGAAGAATATAGAAATTAAGTTTACAGACAAAGCAGGCAGTGTGCTGGGATATCCCAAATTTACTCCGACATGTTTTATCCCCCTGTCCGCTACAAGGTCCAACTTTGAAAAATAATGTGTCTTATGAGGTTTGCCTGTCATTTTATGTTGAAGGATACATTTATGTTATAAACAGCAGTGTGTACCCTAGCCAGCCCCACACCTTACAAGACATTTTCCAAGGAGTCATGCCCCATTAGCGCATAGATCGTGGCTTGGTTACTCTAGTGACTCAAGTCAGCATCCTGCATGTCCTGCTGACTGGCTGCATAGACAAGGACTGTTTCCGTAGGAAGTCATTATTGTTTGTTAGGAAGCCCATTTTCAACTTGGCTACAAGGATATCCACTATTTCTGTCTGTCTTCCTCCAGTCATTTGGGGAAAAAAGATCATGGGGCTAGTTGCATGAATTTTGCCTCTTAGCCATCCATTCATTTTCAGTAAGCCAGTAGAAGAGTTCACTTTATTGCCTCACCGTGTGTTTGCTTATTGCTAGTCTCTCTGTATCGGGTAATTCCCATGCATCCTTCCAGAACTACTTCACTTGTTATTTGCTCCTGCTTAGGGATAATCTCTTCCCTCTTAAATTTTGTTATAATTTCTTTTTCCATTTACCACAGTCTTTTTTATTTTTGAAATATAAATAATTTAGGCTCTTCATTTTTATCTACACATTATTGTATTCATATTATATACAGACAATTATGCCTTTTTTTAATGTCTTATAAATTTACCAGTTAAGTAGCTCCCATCAAAAATCCAAATTTTGTGAAATCACAGCTTGTGAGCGTCATGTTGGTGCCCCAGATGGTTCAGATTTTTTGGATGATGGTTATTCACAGTTAAATGGGACATTATTCTTTGTGTAAGTTTCCTAAAGTGCTAAACCTTTGCTTTTGTTAGTATTGACCTGTACAGTGAAAGTAAATTTTAAAAGCTTGAAAATGTGATTATGAGTACAAAAAATAAATTGTCACCCAGTTATTAATAGCATATTTGATATTTGCATATTTCTTCTTGGTTAGGTTTAACAGTTTGGTGGGTACAGTTGCTAGAATTATATTTAAAAACCTTAAACTTGTAGCTACAGATTTCACCTAGTTCTTATTGACTAAAGATTGAATTATAGATCTTTTATTACAACATAATTCAGGTTGAAATGCATTCTTTCAGAATAAGGGGTTCAAAGATGTGCTTATTAATGAACTTTGCTGACATTTAAAAATGACTTTAGATGTTTGTTGATGTACCTACAGTTCCCCTCAGTAATATGCAAAATATATAGTGAAAGAAGGACTGCCTTCTAAAATGTAAAACCTAGCCTGAAATCTGGTTGAAAGTAACTGCTTTTGTTGTTCTCCTCCCCTCCCAAGTCAATGACACACTCGATGACATCTTTGATGGCTCTGATGATGAGGAAGAAAGTCAAGATATTGTGAACCAAGTTCTTGACGAAATTGGGATTGAAATCTCTGGAAAGGTAAGAATGTCTTGCCTCACTGGAGATAGCTCCTAGCACTTTTGTCACCTGACTATTCAACTTGGGCTTGCAATTAGCTGCATGTTTTTATCTTTGGTTTGGAAGTAAACTAAAGCTCTTTGAAAAGATTTAATTCTACCTTGTATGTTGAATAAAGCCATTTTCTTCTCTTTTTCTTTCTTTAATGTAGATGGCCAAAGCTCCATCAGCTGCACGAAGCTTACCATCCGCCTCTACTTCCAAGGCTACAATCTCCGATGAAGAGATTGAACGACAACTGAAAGCATTAGGAGTAGATTAGTTAAAAACACTTAAATTTCTTTTGCTTACTGAAAATTATTAAGTATAAACCAGGCACACACACACACACACACACACACACCATGAGTAAACAGTTATTTGCAACATGGCTATAATGCAATTTTTGCCAAAGAATGACAATGATGCAAAAATTGGAACAGTTTGAATCATACCTAGAACTACTCAGAAGTGATGATATATAAAATGTTGACTTGACTTCATTGCTGCATGGTATAGAGAAGGTACCTTCATTACTTAAGTGTCAATTTCTAGGTTCTACATCTTTTTACACTGAATAAGACAACAACAACAAAAAAAAAACCTCATTAAATGCCAGTAACACTAACTTAAAGACATGTAAAATATTAAAATTGATCATCAATTCTGTATCTGTTGCTTGTCTTTTGTAAACACTTACATGTTTTGACCATAGATGGTCCAGTTGCCAAATTATTTCTAAGGGATCTAAAAGAATGCTGTTTAAACATCTGTGTTAAACAAAATCAGTCATGAGCTTGCTTTTTCCTTTGCGAGTACGTTGAGATTGGTAAGTTTATCATGTTCCAGGATGCGCTTGGCACCTGCCTTAAATTGCACAAGCATTTTGTGCACATCTTTAGATTATTTAATGGGCAAAAAAGAATATATTTTACAATTGAGGCCTCCTACAAAAAATATTCAGGCTTTCCTTTGTAAAGCTTATAAAAGTGATTGAGTTGAATATAATGAGCCAAAAAGGACTCCTGTATTAATGACATTTGATAGTAATAAAACATTAAATTTATTCTGTCTGCCACATGAGGACGTGTGATTTACATGTGAATTTTACCATGTGAATTACAATTTAATGTCCATGTAATTTTGAAGCATACTGTTGTATATATTGATCCCTCTAAATTGAAGCCATTATTCTCTTTTAAGTAGTTGCTACTATGATAACTTGGTTTAAATTTTTAAAATAAAAGTTACCTTTTTTTGTAAATAAACAACTGTGTCAGAAGTTATTGCATAAATGTATATTATTATGTTATAGGTATTGTTAATGTAAAGTTGTTATGTAATTTAGTGTATGTATGAGAGAAAATGGAGTACCAGGTTAGAAATAGAGTTTAGAATGAGGTCAGTTTTGAAAATGATGCTACAATATGTGAATTCTGAAACACTGAAAACTCTAAATGAGATCAGGTTTGTGTAATCTTTGTTAATTTGGGATAATGCATTTTTGGGACTTGTGACATAAAATACATTTTAGTGCTAGGATCTATGTGTCACATAGATTGCTGTAGGAACACACGCTAAGCTGTAGGATTTCCAATCTATGTCCATTTTATCATGTTCAAAGATTGGGTTTCATTATTAACACCTTTAGGTGCATACACAGTTACCCTGAACAGTAATGAGTCAAAATATCTTCTGGTTTATGGAATGGTAGTGTGGTACATGTGTTGATTCCTAAGTATACATAATAATACCATAAAGAATGATTTATATTATTTTCCTGAAAGGAAAATTAGATAATTTTGTTACATGAAAAAGTGGGGGAAAAAAGCATTATTTTAAGTATCAGTTGCTAACAGACTGATCTTTTTAAATGGACTACGTCTAAAAAGTGGTTTCACGTTGTATTTGTGTGGGGACTCCTTTCCTAGATTTTCCAGTGACGGTTCCTTTTATTTTGGAGCTAATGAGAGCTAAGGGATTGTTTTCATTTCAGTCTGACACAGGCAGCTTTCGGGACTAAAAGACTGTATGTGCAGTCATAATCTAACTTGGCTACGTTTATAAAATGCTCTCATTTCAATTTTCATGATTACCATAAATCTGTAATGTTACTCTAAGGTTCGTTAAAAATACAAGTTCCTTTCAGACCCTTAATGAATAAGAAATAAGAATTCTTAGATATTGACTCATAAAATCCCAGGTTTTTTATTGTAGACATATTTCAGTGGCTTAATACTTATTTTAAGTTAACTCTCCAATTTCTGCTTTGTAGAAACAGTCCACAAGTGAGTTTGAACACCTTCTTCTAATGTAGTTTTTTGTAGTGGTGTTTGCAAGGCTCATCTACTCCTCTGCCAAAACTTGATATTCCTGCATGCACACACGACACAACACATAGACACACACCTCTCCCATCCCCAAACACTGTGAAGGTTTCTTTGGCTAGACAAATCCTTTCCACCATTAGAGCTGAAAAAGCAGTCACATGAAAGGGTTCTCCATTCAGTCAATGAAAATGGCAAACAGGTGTTCCATTTGGATGTAAAACTTTACATCACGCTCCCGACGTCTCGGCCACTGAAGAGCTCACAGCACACATGTATGGCTAAAGTCAGCCCACAACATTTATTCCCAGAAGTAAACATCAATACTACAAAATAATGTGCAAACATTCTTTGCCTAATTACGGTTTAGGATTTCAAATAACATTTGCTATTTTCTATTGTTTTAAAGGTTTTATATCTATTAAAATATGTCAACACAAAATAATCTCTAAACTGAATACAAATGAGTTAACAGTAAATATCAGTGCATTGACAACTGACATGAATAATTTAATCAGGAATTGCTATTTCAGTATTAACTATTCATTGAAAAGTTCTTTTAGGTAGAAAAGTTGATTCTCGGTGTTGCTACTTGTCTAAACACAAAAAGAATGACCTTATGAATGAACATCGGATTAATATCTAAGCTATAGAGATGAGCTATGTATACATACTTTATTTCATTGCATAGAGTCAGATTGGACTTTACTGGTTCCAAAATGCAAATCCAGATTCATGGCGTTACATTTGGTTTCTATTTGTAACTTTCAAAGCAAGTATTCGATCTTATATACATGCCTGTATGTGGCAATGAAAGTGATCTGCTTTTTGCAAAATGAAGAATCTCTCACTCTCATAGTGTTTCGGGCAGAGGTCAAATATTAAATTATCCAGAAGAGAAACCTCGCCACCTTCATAGCTGAAACAATATTCATACCTTCTGAGTGGTAAATATATGCTTAAACCTACATCATCCACCCACTAAGAACTCGTATTAGACCTTTTTATTTATTTTTTTAATCTTTGGAGTAACGTGAAATGTGTGCAGATTCCCATAGAGTACAGTGAAGTCCTGAATACTTTTTTTGTTAGTAACATAAAATTTACATTCAAAATTCAAAAAGAAATCATTGTCCTAGATTACATGACATTATACCTTGCTTTTGTTCGCAAGTTTGAAGCAAGGGCCTTCTTTGGTCTTTGAGATATAGCTAGCAAAACGGAAAAGCTCAATATATCAATTTTTAATTACAAATGGGATTTTGGCTATGCCAAACATAGTCCTTTATTCTGGGACTTCAAATGACTCTTCAGATAGTGAGATTTCAAAAATACATTACATTTTTTAATTAACTGGCAGCCTTTGTGTTCGTAGCCACTGATAACAGTCCATTTATTACCTTGTTTAAGAGAGATCGCATGCCTACTGTGAGCGCTAGCTTTCTCAGCTCTGGGAGGAACCGCGACTCCGGAATCTGCTCTGATGCTCCAAGCATTTTCAGGTGGAAGAAGCCAGGAAGTGGCCTTTTGGCCAAGATCAGGTGAGGGACCCAGCACGTGCGTTTTCTGTGGCTAAACATCAGAAGGCTAACGCTTGAAAATATGTTCAAGTTCTTAATTTTTCCAGAAATCTCTTGGAAACACTTCTTTGGGTTCTGTGCCCTAAATAATCTTTCATAGGCATCTTTACAAAACTTTTACTTCAAACTAACAGAACTGGTAAGCGGAATGTTAACTAGCAGCTTTTCTAAACATATACTCTTTAATTGTGTTACATCACTGAAAGGCCAACACGCTAAAAACAAACCAAACAACAACTACCACCAAAAAAAAAAAAAGGCTTCTGAGAACAAACAAACCTTTTAAAGAAGGTAAGACAGCAGTACAGACTGCTGGCGGGTATTCTTAAAAGGAAAATATTTTCTGGAAATTTATTTGTATGAAATGACTTTGTATGTCAGCCAAGTAATTTTTAGTATCGTTGGGGAAGAGAAGGGAAAGCGGACGGGATGGTGCTGGCTGGGCCGGGCTCTGCGGGCTGGGGATGGCTCCGCTGCCCAGAGGCAACCTTATCTGCACTCCAGATGTTCCTTAGAAAGAGAATATAGACTTTGATTCAGACTTGTTTTTACCCGCTTTTCTCTCTGTCTTCGATTGCAAAACCAAACTCTGACTACTTCTTTCTCCAGGTTCAGTTCTTCAGCCATCCGCAGAATCTCTTGAGAGGAAGGTTTGTTCTGCTCTCCGAAGTGTCTTTCCAGAGCGTCTTTCGCAGCAATGCTGAGGAAGGGTAGGGACAGAGGCCGAGAATATGTTGTTTTTAGTTTCCTAAATACTAACATGAAAAGTGAAACTGAAATATTCAGAAAATACTTATAAAAAAAAAATCCGAGAAAAGACAAATACACAATTTGCTGAGCATACTCGCGTGCGGGTACCAGAGCTTTAGGAGCAAGTCAAGGAGGGGTTCAGGCTCTCTGTTTATCCCACTTTATGCCACAAGAGGGCACCAGGTTCTTGAAAAGCGAACACCTACTTCGGTATTTCTAAATATCAACTCCCAAAAGAGTCAAAAGAGATAAGAAGTCTAGTTAAGAACTAAGCACCCCAAATGGACGTATCTTCCTGTGGTGCCACATAGACTGCAAAAAAGATCAACAATCTCTGTATTGAAATGTAAGATGTCATACTGGATTCAGGAAAGTGAAATGATGATCATTGATCTTATTTTTAGCAAAGTAAAATACATAGCAGAAATGGTAAGACTCTTGATTACTTAGTTTCTTTTCTATCTGAAACTTGTGGAGGAAAATGTACTTTAGCCAACTTTTATATATATATACACATATATATGCATATATATAAATTTGCATCCATTGTTACAAATGACTAACTCTCCCCATTTATATTTGTACAATTTTAAAATTTATCATAGATCTTCAATTGACTACTCGTTTTCAGTTTGTGTATTGCAGGACACTGTGTTACATTCAAATGCGCTTCCATTTTTATCTTTCCCTTCAATAACTTTTAATATTTCTAGAGAATACCTTATAGTTGTTCTCCGTTTTCTTTTCCTTTCATTTGCTCCCACTTTTTCATTGTATAAAGCTGTAATGTGGAAATCGAGAATAATTATAAACAACTCATTGATATTTTTTTAACCTCCAATCAGATTTTTGTTTCATTCTTTTTAAGAGATCTATTTATTGGAAAGAATTAGAGCAGAGACGGTTTTTCCACCCACTGGTTCACTTCCCAAATGGCTCTAACTGCCATGGCTGGGGTCTTACAGGGGTCTCCCTTGGGGGCACAGGGACCCAAGCACTTGGGCCCCATTCTGCTGCTTTCGCAGGCACGTGGCCAGGGACCAAGACGGGAGACGCAGCAGCTGGGACAGGACCTGGCGCCCATGCGGGATTCCTGCACAACACCGCACAGGGCAGTTTCCTCCACGCAGATTCCTCCAATTTTCTTTTTAAAACAATACAGATATAACTTGACCGCAGGATGCTGCGCTCTATCATTGTCTGTACCTACAATGTCAAGATACACCTAAATGGTAGGATGATGGATTGCGATTCTTGTTGAAGGACAATACTATTGCAATAAAATAGGGGAAATCAGGGACGGGGGTGGAAAGGGTGGGCAGAAAAAGCCCTGAGCCTATGGTACTGTATCGTTAAAACTTTAAAAAATAAATAACTAAAAATGCAAAATAAAACTCCCAGGCATTTGTGTCCTTATGTCTTACAGCTTCTGTCATTTTGTATTACAGACCCTTGGGAAAATATTGATGTAGAGGGAAATACAAATTTTGTTCAAATAATATCCTCAAGTTACTTTTGTCAAAACGTTTCATATAGCTACTCACAAACCGTGCTGCTTGTCCGATCTTGACGGCAGCATGAGCCAATAATTTTATAATGTTAAATGCATGCATTTATTCTGCATGCATACAGTAACATTAGTTTGTATGAGTGATCCGTGTAGTTAGGTCAGGATAGCACGGAGACAAAACCAAACAGAATGTGAGTCTCCTGCTACAGCTCCTCCGGCAGAAGCCGCTTTGTTTGAGCTTCCCTTAGCTCTCAGTGACTTTGGGTTTGGCAGTTACGTTGATTGCCCCCCTTTTTGCACTGTTAGGTAGCAAGATATTTTCCTGTGGAAGAAAAAGTGGAGGGTCCCCATGCTTTCGGTTTAATCATTACTCCTAGAACCAAAGCTATTGTTTTTAGCTTTTAACCTAAGTCTAATTACCATTATAGTTAGGGCAGCTTTTCAGCGGCAAAACCTTCATACCTCCGACTTGCTCGGCTTCCTCCAGCCATTTGGATAATATGGCTTTCAGTTTGCAAGCGTTTTTGAAGCTGAGCTGCAGGTTCTCAAACCGGCAGATGGTGGTCTGACTGAACTCGGAGCCGTGCACAGCTGCCAGGGCCTCGCCCACGTTGGTCTGGGTGTACCCTGGGGAAGGACGTCAGGACCGTTAGCTTGGATTTTCAAGAGCGTTCAGTCTGGTCAATTCTCACTCAAACCTGTGTCGTTTTTGTTGCCAATTGTGGGGCTTCTGCTTTTCAGTTATTCATTTTTGGAAATTCAGAATTATGTAGCAGGATCAGGGTAGGATGTTTTGGTGCAGAAAATTGTATTCCCTGTAGCTAGTTAATTACACATCTCTTAGAAGTAAAAGAGATTTCGATAGGGATATCTACCATTTGTAGTATTTACACAAGTTGCATACATACGGCAATACTTTGCAAGACACTTAAAAATTCTTGAACTTTTACATAATTTTAAATATTTCATATGCTTAAACTTTTTAAGGTATTAATCAAAATGGATAAGATTTATGATTACACATATAGTTTTGTTTCCATTGTAAGAGCAAGAAATTCAACTTCATTGTTGAAGAGTGCCAAATAAAACCAAGGATGATACTGCTTCCAAAAGTATGCTCATTGCAAGGCTGTGGGCACACGGTTTATTTATGCCTCGGAGCACATTTACTGTAATGTTTGATAATGTTTCTCGCCCCTGGAAAAAAGGTCCTATTGATTATTCCAAACTTTAGAAAGTGCAAGCTGAAATAAACCATCAAAGTGTAACTCAAAACATCCGCAGAAATATAAATAGAAAACCAAAAATGATTATTAAATAGATGTCGCTGCTGTGTTTACATTACATTTGACAAACATTATTTCACGGCCCAAGGCTGCATCTCTGTTTGTGCAAAACGATGAGTGATGCCCACCAACAAATATCATCATAAAATTAAAATTACCTGTGGCTCATTTCACAAATACAGAGGTTTGAATTATTATTTCCATCCATTATAATAAATATGTACAACTTTGTGAATGGTAGCCAAAGTTAATTATCATTTTATGTTAGAAGAATTTCTCAACAAAAAAATGAACATAGACTTTCACTGGCAGTTCCCAGAGAGTGCAGACACATGACAATAGCTAACGGCAAAGGAGATTTCACTCCTTACAGCTAAGTAAGTGAAATTCAGACTGGATATACAATGAGATGTCACCTGGACCTATCTAATTTACAAAGATTAAAAAAATCTATAACAATTTTTTTTCCCTTTCTCTGTTATTCTATTAGATGCAGGAAATACCCTGCTAAGGAGAAAGTAAAAAACAAACAAAGAAAAAAAAAAACCTTTTATGTTCCTGGAAGCTTACAGTATAAGGGAGACAAGAAAGCCGCTCCTGGCATTAGTCAAATTTGGCACAACTGTAATACAAAGCAGTTTGCAATATCCATTAAAATTACAAATCCAAGGTGTCTTTTATCTGTGTTTTTCCTTCTGTTTTTCTTTCTTTGCTTACATTTCGCTTATAAAGTTTTTCTTACACATTTATTTATATAGATATAAATGACACTTAAGATTAATCACCATGACATTGATTTTTAATATCAAAGTATTAGAAACCTCCAGCAGTAAAAGCTTAAATAGATTGTAGTGTATTCATGAAGTGGAATTTGACAGATCCATAAAAGCGAAGGAGCACTAGAAAAACGTTTTGAAAAGTTTCCAAAACATGTGGGTAATGAAAATTATGAGTATTTGATTACAAATGTATGAGCTACCTCTTGGAGGACAAATAAGAAACTAACTACATTGGTAAACAGGAAAGACAAGCTGCCTTCAGGTCCCCATACCCTTCCTACTTTGCTAGTATCTGAATGTGTAATCAATTCAAAGAACGGCAAGATAAATCAGCACACTCCAAATATAATAATGAAATGGGTGATTTGGAAAATATTACATTAATCTTAAAATATATGTACTTAAGTCAAAAAATGTACAAGAAAATAAGGGTTTTGTAGGCTTCTCACAAACCTAGTCCATATTAAAGGTGTAAAAAGACTGAACTTCTAAACAGTGTTGAATGATAATAGGGCAAGGATTTGCAGACCATGCCATTTGTTCCATTGTTTAAGATAATAAAATAAAATAAAATGAAAATATAATAAAATAAACACATACCCAACTTAATTCTTCTCACTTTAAATTCATTTGCAAATTTTTCAAGTTCCCGGATTTCGGGAGAATCCATGTCCACTGGCTCTTCCGCCAGTTTACTTTTCCTCCTGAGTTCCTGCTTGAACTCGGCAGCCGTGGGATCCTCAGCCAGCAGAGGTTGATGCAAGGGAGGGAATCCATGACTCAAGGTGTGCTCAGGAAACTTATACAGACAAGGGGTTAAACTGCCTGTGAGCAGACAAAGGAAAGGGCTGTTGATGATCAGCTCTACTTTTGTGTAGCCAGTGTTTTCCCTGTTAGAGCCCTTTACTCCACTATAACTTCAGTTTGTAAAATGACCTTACGTTCAGAAGAGAAGGAGTCGCTGAAGCACAATAGGAAGGGAGCTGGTTATGTTCTACTTCTCCCAGGGAACAAAACTCAAGACAATGTCAAAGAAAAGACGCACAGGACTGCCATAATTCAATAAAAACAATAAAACACTTTAAAAACGTTAGTTCTCCATCATTTTTGTTTTTTACTGTTAAAAGACATCTTTTTTAAGATTCAACTTGAACCAGAATATATATGTGTATCACTGGTTTGTAAACTGATTGAACAAATTGCAGTGCTGTACTAAAGATGCTCAGTGAAATGCTAGATTTTCTTGTGGTTGGGAAATAAAATTTAAGAAGTCCTACCATTTCATTGATAAGTGTTATTAAATGTCAATTAACAGATTTCACGAAAATAAACAATGGATCCCCAGTCTGGTTTTGCTGGCCAACATGAGCGCCATTTGGTCCCCAATATCCCATACAGTCTTGGGCACAAGGATTATGGATTGCCCAGGGAAAGACCACTAGAGGAATATGCTGTAGGTGAGATAAGAAATGACTTGAAGGACTTAAACTGAAAAGGCAACTGTACTTGATGACCTGGTAATGCATGTGTCAGAACTGGACCTCCTCAATGGCTCAGACAGAGCAGTGGACGGCATACCCAGATGTACATGGAGAATACAGCAGTCCACTGGGGATGGCATAGGACATCTGGTACCATGGCAGAGGATGGAGGGCAGAAGAAATTGGTCAACCACCCCAACCAGCATTGACAGCAAATATCTGGAGGAATGGAGACTGGTAGGTGACTATCAGCCATAGACCTTGGAAGTATATCCTCATTCTTGGAAGGGCAAGATCGTCAGCATTTCAGAACGATCGAAACCATTTGAACAGAACCCTTGGAACATGCTCCATACCAGGGACCCTGGATTGATGTTGGGTGGCCAATCTCCACCCCCAGGTACTGAGGTATTTGGAAGCCTGGGTGCTGCTTCGCCCCTTTTCTCTCCTCTTCCCCCAGAAACAGGAAGAAGAAAACGAAATTTGGAAACAATGGTCTCACTCATGTTTCCCTATTCCTCAACCTTTCCCACCTTCATCAACTATGTCAAATTAAATAGTATTTGAAAAAGAAAGAAAGCAAGCAATGGAGTTATATCTTCATTACTTTGTAAGGGGAAGTAAAAATAAGCATCAAGGAAAGTTGCAATTCTAGTTGCTATGGTGATGAACTTTGAACTCTGGAATGGGTGAAATGATGGAAGATGACAAGGTGCAATGTTAGAAGATTTTAAAAGACTATTTCCGGATTTTATTCTTTATTAGAAGAGTCTTTCTCAGTCAAAGGGTATAGCTGAGTCTATGAAACATAGAACAACCTCCAACACATTTTTTTTTTTTACTTTTTTTCCTCACTAGGTTATAATTTTTATTGGTAAATAATTCAATTCAGTTTATATTAAATCACATGCATAATCAAGAGAGTCTGTTACTAAGATAAAGAGTAATCAATCACTGTTGTAAGTTTAAATAAATATTTTAGAATCAATTACTACAGAAAATGTGTGCTAAGCATTCTTGGAAACTTAATGAAAACATCCATGAGGCTTTGTGCTACTCATTATTTCTTCATAAATACATTCACAATTCAAAGATATGAATAATATTATATTTTCCTAGGATATGTATGTAAATCTCACATTACTATATCAATATATAATGAGCAAAGAATGACAGACATCAGCATGTTGCTGTTTTATTTATATAAGAAAATGTGATTATAAAGTGTACACCAACTAATATAATAGAACATTATTTTTTCTGAACCAAAGCAAAACTACAAGTGTGGGATTAAACAAAAGTGTATAAAATATATCTGGCTACTTAGAAGTGTGAAAAAGATATGAAATACCTTATTTTGATCTTTGGTTTGACAAGCCCAAATCATTCAGTTTTACTTTTGCAAATGACAACTAACTATCCATACGGCATGTTGATTACATCACAGAAAACGCAGAGACCGGATTCTCTCCAGGCCTGTGTCGTGCTGCAGCAAAGATGTGCCCTGTGACACTGGCGTCCCATCTGAGCACTGATTTGATTCTGGCTGTTCCTCTGCCAATCCAGCGCCCACCGGTGAGTGTGGGAAAGCAGCACTGGATGGCTCCTGAGCCCTGCCCCTGCTATTCATCTCCAAGTCTGCATAGCTTCTGGCTCCTGGCTTTGGCCTGGTCCAGCTCTGGCTCTTCTCATCTGAGGCGTGAATCAACAAATGGAACATTTTTTTCTATCACTCCTCCTCTCTTTCTCTCTCTGCCTTTAAAATAAATAACATATTTTTTTACTAAGTTCAATTTTTCAAACTTAAGTTTATCACACAGCCTCATTCCTTTAAATGTTCCTGAGATTTATTTCAAACTTCTTCTTAGTTTTTAAATGTCTGCTAGTAGACACAACACACTAATCACTGTAAAAACTGTTATTTAAAGTAATATCCTACTTATTTAACGTCTTATTTTAACATCATACGTATCTCAAAGGATCATTCACTTTAGTTCTCATGATTGGTTCTTCAATATATGGAAAATTGACACGTCTTTCATCATTTAGATATAGTCCTGTCAACTATCTGCGATACACAGACTTGTTTTTCATTGTTGGAGAATAGAAATAACTGTATGTAGGTACCAGTTTTCTTGGAACTAATTTTATGCAGAAATTTATCAGGTAGTTACAACCTAGACTCTGTTGCCATCATAAAGCCTTTTACTGGGGAGTATGTGGAGAAAGATTGCTATGGAATATATGGCAAGACATTTCTCAACTTGTTTCGAAGCCTGTTATTCTAGAAACAAAACAAAACACAACTATACTTAACTGAAACAGAAAGAAGCAAAAAGATTTTTTGAAGGAGTGAATCAGTGCAGCAAAATTCTTTCAGATATTTTCCAAAACATTGCCCAAGCGAAGCTGTCATTAGATCTAGAAAAATACACACTTAATGGCTTGGAAATTTCTGTACACTGGACAGTTCCAAGTCCATTTTCACACTGCAGACACATGCACCACAGACCCTCTGAATTGCTCTCTGTGGCATTTTTGTGTGGTGATGTAGAAAAAAAGAATGAAATATCACTGTTAACTCAATGTACCGAGGAATGGGGCAAATTGTTCTATCACCTGGCTGATTGACAAACTCCCGGGTTGGAGGCTTTATAATGGAGGAGCAAAGGGACAGGATGAAACACACCACCCTGCTACGGACATGCCCAAGAATCTGATGTTTCCTTGCCGGCTCCTCTTTCATATATCCCACAATGGCTTGGAGCAAATCATGCATTTCAATAGTGCTCTTTTCCTTGCATGTGTTAGTAAATCCTGTTCATGTATAAACAAGGATCTGCTGCCTGTTTGGTACATGAAACTTAAGAGGAACAGTCATGACCATTTGATTATTTACTACTTATGACTATTTTTCCAGTGTAGTGACTAAGTTGTGTGAGTGCAACAGAGGCTAAAAAGCTTATGGCATTTGCTCTCTTGTTCTTTACAGGAAAAGGTAGACAAACACATCACACCATTGAAAATACATCACACCATTGATTTTGAAAGATGTTTTCTCATCAAAGAAAAAAAGACCTTCAGAATTAATTCTTAGGGAAAATTGTTACAATGGGAAACATTTGGAGTAAAATAAAATTAAGCAAGCAAGAAAGGAAGGGTAGAGAGGAGGAAGGGATGGAATGAGAGAGGATGGAAGTAAGGAGAGAGGGGGAGAATTGGATGGAGGAGGGAAGTGTGAGGAACGGAAGGAGGAAGGAATGGAGGAAGGAAGACCTGGTCTTCAAAGTAGACACTTCCTCCAGGTCAACTCTGAGGCTGATTTCCATCACCACACATGTTAGCCTAGAAATCACCACACATGTTAGCCTAGAAGAGGGCTTTTTTTTTTTTTTACCCATACAATCTTTTTTTCAGTATTTACTTCTTCAGTATCCATTAAAAAGTGAATGAGTGGTCGGTACGGTGACATACCATGCTAAGCCACTACCTGTACTGTTGGCAACCCTTATGGGTGCTGGTTCGAGCGCCAGCTGCTCCACATTTGATCCAGCTGTCAGCTGATGGCTTAGGGTTGCAGCAGCAGAGGCTGACCAAAGTCCTTCAGGCGCTTCACCCATGGGGGAGAGCCCAAAGAGGCATGTGGCTCCCGGCCTTGGACTAACCTAACTGGTCATGGTGATGATTTGTGGAGTGAACCAATGGCTGGAAGATCTCTGTTTCTCTTTCTCTCTCTGTAACCCTGTCTTTCCAATCAAAAATAAATAACTAAAATAAATCTTGGAAAGAGTGGAAATTCACCATGTTGACTAATCTTTAAAATAATAATTATTTTTTAAAACAGAACTCTCTCACCATCATCTATGATTGACTCAAGACTAAAACACTTGGCGCTCAGTTTGCACCAGACACTAGGAAGGTGAACAGTTCATTGGTCTTGTTTCCTAAATGTCATCCCATTTTAGAAACTGGAGAACAGGAAAGATCTCAGATGCCAAAAATTCAGAGTTTAGAGGATTTTTAAACTTATTTCTTCAGCATTTATCTAGAAAAGGTATTGAATGGCATTTAAAAGGCTCTGTTCCCTGCTATTTTCCTATTATTTGTTGAATTACCAGACTTTTTAGAAGTGAAAAAGAAGCAGAAGAAATGCAGCTGCGATTATATCTGAGGTCAAAAGAGAGGAGATTCAAATTTATACAATTCAATTCTTATAACAGTTCCTGAAAGCACCAAAACTCAGACAAGAACAGGTTTTTAAACTCTAAGGTGTCAATGACTTGAGCAAGGTTAGTAAGGAGCTGATGCAGTGACCAGTTTATTGCTGCCAATTCGTCATTTTCTTTTGTTTAGCTGCACCTGTTCCATGAGATGCTTTCATTCAGTGTTCCAGAAAGTCTTCCTGCTGACATGCCAAAATGTTAGCAGTAGTTCACCCTTCCTGTGGTTATTAACTTAATAAAGCACCCAGACCAATGCAAGAGAGTGTGGTAATAAAATAACCACATTAAAATAAAATAATTTCACAGGTTTTAAGTATAGTCCTTCTATGGGGTCCTTTCCATATACAGTATGTGACACTGAACCTGGCTTCATTGTTGATGAGACACTTCTGTGGATTTTGTGGAAGTGGCTGAGTTGATTAACACCTTTGGATTTCCCAGAAAATTAAAACGACATAGCTAAGTTTCTATAATGCATTTTCTACATTCACTCTTTTCTGAATTCCAGTATTTATAACTCAATTTGTACAGCTTCTCTGGGGATGAAGGCAAACAGGTTCAGATACTCTAAGATTTAATCCTCCATTAAATAAATGCTAATACTAAAAATATATCAATATAGACATTCTGACATATTGTAAAGCATATCACATTTTAACGAACTCCCTCGTAAAATATTCAAATACAGTCTTGCTGGTCTTTGTGATGAGTCTTTCTTAAAGTGATGAACTACATTTAGGATTACAATGGAATGTCGAAGTCTTGCTGTCACTGAGGCAGGTTTTGAAAATAATTTTAAAAGACTTTTCTTAGCCCCTTTCTATTAACTGTGATGCTCAAAAGGGAAGAGCAAAGAGAATTCGCTGAGGGTTCCTTGGAGGTTAGTCTGCTCAGCAAAACCCAAGCCTCCAAGGGGCGTGTTGGCTGCATGCCTGAGAGCAGGGTTTCCTGGGGACTGAGACCAATGTCAAACTAGCTATGCTGGCAGCAGCCTAATTCCATTTGATGGGAAGAAAGTTGGTGGTACAAAACCGTCTTCAGGCATTTGAATGACAATTCATAGCAACTGATCTGTGATTAATTTCATCGCTATGCCAACCTTAATTATTGGCAGGGCCACACTTTGCTTGGATAAAGCAGAAAGTGGGTCCAGTGCAACAGCTCAATTGGCTAATCATCCCTTTATAAGGTCCTGGATTCATATAGGCACCAGTTCATGTCTCTGCTGCTTCACTGCCCATCCTGCTTCCAGCTTGCGGCTTGAGAGGGCAGTGGAAGATGGCCCAAAGCCTTGGGACCCTGCATCCATGTGGGAGAGCCAGAGGAGGCTCTTGCCTGCTGGCTTTGGATCAGCTCAGCTTTGGCCATTGTGGCCTTTTGAGGAGTGTGTCAGTGGATGGAAGATCGTTCCCTATGTCTCTCCTTTCTGTAAATATACCTTTCAAAAGAAACAAATGAATCCTAAAAACGAAAGGTGTATCTAGGTTCCTGGGAGTTCTGGGAATGAGCTGTAAGGCCTTTCATCTAGGAGATGGGGACACATACTCATGAGCTTGTCATTTCCAGGCCACATGATCAAAATGTTGTAAAACTCACAGAACGCATTCTACGTGCACCCCCATAATGAAAAACATACATTTTACTATTTTATGTTAAAAATGTTTCTTCAGGATCCCATTATGGTAGCCTAGCAGCTAAAGACCTTGCCTTTTACACCTGGGATACCATATGGGCACCGGTTCTAATCCCGGTGTCCCTGCTTCCCATCCAGCTCTCTGCTTGTGGCCTGGGGAAGCAGTCGAGGATGGCCCAAAGCCTTGGGACCCTGCACCTGTGTGGTAGACTTGAGGGAGGCTCTGGATTCCTGGCTTTGAATGGCCATTGTGGTCACTTGGGGAGTGAGTCAATGGATGGAAGATCTTCCTCTCTGTCTCTTCTCCTCTCTGTATATCTGATTTTGCAATAAAAATAAATAAATCTTAAAAAAAATTGTTTCCTCGGATAGAAGGGTTGTTCTACTTAACTAGGAAAACTGATCAACTGAGTATATGGATCGTATGTGATCAATTCTCCAAGAGGAAGTCAAGAAATAGCTAAATTCTAAATTGTGCTACATTGCTCAACAAAGATATCAGAATTTACAGTAATCATTGCAAATATACGTCTTTGTTTTACCAAAAATGTAAGAACACTAAAATGCTGCTTGATTAAATGTCAGATAAGCTAACATTTTCAATGACTGCTATTCTTATTTTGAGATTTTAGTGTCTAATTTGCTGTTCGGCTAAGAAGTTTTGAGATATTTTAATTTGGTGAACTAGGAGCCAGATTTTGTGGCTTATAGTGGATTCAGCTGCCTCCTGAGATGATAGCATCTTGGGTGGATGCTGATTCGTGTCCCAACTACTCCACTTCAATCCAACCCTGTGATTATGTTCCTAGAAAGGCACCAAATGATGAAGTAACTGCACCCCTGCCAAGTACAGGGAGAGCTGGAAGAAGTCTCTGGCCCCTGGCCTCAATGGGCTCAGACCCAGGTCTGCCTTGTCAATGGAGGTTGCAGATGGAAGACCTCTCCCTCTCTTTCTCTAGCTATGACTTTCAAGTAAACAGATATATCTCTTTTTTTGTTGTTTTTTTAAGAAAACATTAGTGAACTGAATTATTTGCTTCTTTTTATTTCAAAAGTATGGCTATAAATCCATCCATGTGTTTGTATGTGCTTTATTTTTATCTGAATAACAAAACAAAAATACCAAATAGAAAAGATTTCCCTAACATCTGATTCCTTTATCCAAAATTACTGTATCATATACAAACACACACAATACACAGCAGACACCTACACATTTTGTCATACCGTCCTAATTTATTGTTACTGATGAGTTCTTCTGAAGAAATAAATGTAGAAGAAGCATCTTCAAAAAAGAGCAACAAATACAAACTCTCTGTATGTAGTTCATTAAACCATTACAAGCTCATATTTGGTAATAATCTGGCCAGTCCTTGAAATTATTCAATGACTATGAAGGGATTTGACTTCACAGGCTAGCTGTTGTCATCTCTTTAAAACCATGCTCACAAATGAATTCTTAATAAGCATCAGGAAATAGGTGGTTAGATTTGGTGTAGGGATGCTTTCCTTAGTCAGGGGAGGAAAAAGTTCAATTATTTCAGTCTCAGTTATGACTCAGAAGCAGTTCAGAAAGGGATACCAAAGCTTGAAGCAGCTGTTACCAGCACTCCTGGGAATCATACTTGTCCTTCATTTAGTGTCTGGTTTAACTTTATGGACTAAATGTCCAAAAGAGTGTGATGAGGCGGATGTTCTGCAAATCTGTACTGTTTCCAGTGTCAGTGTCTAGTCAGCCACGCAAGGTTGCTGCCAGGGTAATCGAAGAACCTAATTTGGCCTTTATTTTAGTTTAATCTACATTGAAGCTAAATGACCCCATAAAGCTACTAACTACTATGTTATTACTAAAGGAAAATCTTAGTATCTACATCATCAGGAAGGGACAGCCAGGAATCTGAGTGCAGTGAATTCAACAAAATATACATAAACCAAACGTGAGATTAAGAAACCACAGCTCAGTGTGCAAAACAGAGAAATTGGGCTTAATTGTGATGTCACAGGATATTACCAGTCAGGGAGCATCTCAATATTCGACCATTTTCACCAGTATCTGCCCAGGGTAAGTGATCAAATTTCATGTCAGATACTGATCACCATTCATTCAGGTCCAGGAAATCCAACAAAGTGTTCCCAAATTCAATATCATGTATAAAAACAATTTGTCTTACCTGCCATCACTCCGTAGGTTGACGGCTGGTTTCCGTAATGACAGGAAGGAACAGAATAATGAAGTCCCGTTGCTGGGTTTCCCAACGTCATCACCAAGAAATATGTGTGCAAAGATTTAGGAGTTTGGATCAAAGACAAAATAGACAGGACTGGTAAGGAACAGTATGAGGATTCAAGACCCATTCATTTTGTTTCAGAAGTAGCCATTTATGCAATCCTTAAGATTATAGAACAGTGCTTTTTTATTTTTCTTGTTTGGTGGCTGTTTTCTGATGAGAAGCTTAAAATGAAATAAATTTGTTTCAGCTAATGAAGCCATCAAAATGGGCAACACCTTCATTGATTATCTCATGCACTATGTTACAGCTAACAGGACCTCACAAAACAGTTACTGGCCAATTCTCACTTTGACTTTTTGGAAGTTTCATAGTTCATATATTCACATCCAAACCAGATATCGTAACAGCTAACTCATCAATAATCTGTAAAACTCATCATGGTCTTTCTCTGGAAGAAGGAATACGGAATCGATCTGATCAATTAGTATATCTTAGTCATTCCCTTAGGAAACTTCTCCAGTTTTGAGGAAGTACAAGAGGAAATATCCTCCATCTTAAATATAATCATAAAAACTGTACTTTATTCAGGGTGTCATGAAAAACCTGCAACAAATGCAAAACATGTGGCAGTTGGTGTTCCAGCATCATAAGCCATTCGAGGATTCTGATGGTAAAACTGACCATTGACTAAGTTGCACAAAAATTGAACCTGGTAGATAAATATTAGTTTGCTCATCAATGGCTATATACCTCATGGAATCAATAGGTATTTTGAAAATAAATTTCAATTTTTAAACTTTCACCTAATTGATTAAATATCATTGATGTTTCCTTATGTATTTTATTTTCTCAGTTTTCCTTTACAACTTGAATATAGTAAATATGGAAATACAAGCACATCTCATTGTGTAAACACAAGATATTATAAATACAATGACAATCCTTTGATAATATTGAAATATAATCTTGTGATTAAAAACGTAACATTTTCATAAAGAAAGTAAAATATTTGCTCTAAAGAAAAAAAACTATAGGTAATATATGTAAATATATTTGCAGTTTTTCATTTTATGACCAGCACATAAAAATGTTTAATGTCATCAACCACATGTACAAATCATACCTTGCATTCTAAAGTTAAGCAAATAAACACCAGCTAAATTAATACTTACACATTCTTATTAAAGATAGGATTTCTAATTCTTCATTTACATAATTAGATCTACACAACATCAATTTAATGAAAAAATAAAAGTTGATATTATTGTGTATTAAAATATTTTGGGACACATTTATATGTATTTTTAACTTCTAAGCTTTAAATAATTTTGTTTCTCTAATTCTAAGAATTTGAATGAACAATGACAAATGTAGTAAGCACATTTACACTTATTTTTAAAAGGTAGAGTTGTGAATTGCAAATCAGTTCATTTTGTAATAGCACTACTTAGATTTTGAATTTTATTTTCATGTTGGTCGAACATTCATCAGATGCAACAAGTTAAACAATGCACAATTCTCTTTATCCCTATGCTAGAGATAGATCTATTATGTAAAATACAAAATTAGCAGTGTGATTATTCTTCAGAATTATTTGCAGCATATATCTTTGGAAAATATAACCTTTTATTGTATCCCCCTCCCCAAATTTTTTTGAAGTTACTTTCAGCTTTTTAAAATTAAATTATAAGGATTTTTTTGAGTTGCGAAAGAAATCTCATTAATGATTTTACCAAAGCAAAAATAGCTTCAGAGATTTAAAAACTCAACTAAAACTTTATATCAAATTTATAGATACATTTGGAAGCGAATTAGAACAAGAGTTTAAATTCTTTAAATCAGAATATCTACGTACCAGTTCAAATTTTGATTTCTAAGTGTATGATTTTTTTTCCATTTCTACATACAAAATACAGTTAAAACAAATTTAAAAATCATTATAAAGTTAATGAAATAAATCTACTCAAGACTTTGTATATTTATGAACTAATTTTAAGTCACCATTTGCTATTCTTCAGCTAAAGAATTGATTTATTAGCAAAGCATATATGTCTGGGTGATTCTACTGAGACAATGTGTTTGGATTTTCGAATTTAAATTATTCTTATGGAAGTTACTCAGGATAAGTATTAAAACTTAATTGCAAGTTGAGATATCTTAAGAAATTAAACTGTTTTTAAATTTTATAATATTGTAAATGTAGTAGATATATTTCATAGACACAATTCAAATAATATAATCATGTGAAAACATTCAACTCCATTCATGGACTCCACATTTCATACTCTTTCTAGATTTGAACTTGAAGTTTTATGTCATTGCAACTTAATCATTCTGTTCCTTGAACTTTGTTGCTATCAGAAATTATTACTTAGTTATGTTTCATTGTAATATCTACAATTCTGTTGCACATGGAAAACTTAGCTGAAAAAAATCAAATCAATCTCCTGTAAAGAAATATAATAGCTTTTAAAAATTAAACCACTTTGAAACATTTATTTTGTTTTGTTCCTTATTTCATAAACACATCTATAAAAAGATTTTTGGATTAAAAATATTCAAGTTCATTGTTTCCTCACATAAAATCATGTTTGATTATAATAAAATGAATAATAATGCAAATGATTGTGCTGATTGATATATCTTTAAATAATCTTAGGCATTTTGATGTTTCAAAATAATCTTAATATTTAGCATATTAAAACAGCTTATTAGCTAAGAGGATTCCAAGCATCCTCTTGCACACCGTCCCAGTAGCCGGTACCTGTGGACATCACATTGGTGGTGTGGTTGGAGACTGGCAGACACTCAGCAGCACTGGGATGCATGAGCAGAGGCAGGGCGGCAGGAGCGTCAGAGTTCAGAGGTATGAAACTATCAGCCGAAGGAAAAGCTTGGCAACTCATTCCCACGAGAAACAGAGAAGTAGGAAGAACCTCTGTGGCTTCCCAATCCGTGTTATTGTATTCCTGTCTCAAAGGGCCGACTCAGCCCTGGCTACTTGCATATATACATCAGGAAAGCTCTGAGGCACCAGGAGGGCGCGTGCCAGTATTTGTACTGCAAGGAAATCCCTTTATACATGTTAATAGTCTTTTCCCAGGAGTATTGCTTTATCAATCTGGACTGTCCTCCTCTCTTACCCAAACCTAATCCATGCCCATGGAGGATGCCAGTTAGGGGGAACAGGTTGAGGGGAAGGGAGAAATCTGAAACTCCGTTTGAAAACTTCATTTAAGAGAGAAACGAAGAGCTTAAAGAAAGTCCCATAAAAATAATGCTACAATGAATTGAAACATAATGGATGTCTTTGTGCTATTAGTCTAAGCTTATAAATTTCTTTATTTTTATAAATTTTCTTTATTTTTCAGTAACTTCTCATTGTATCTACAAAATAAGATGAAGTGTGGAGTTCATACTTCATAATTTAAAAATCAAACATCAGTTTAAAAATTGAAGCATAGTAGACAAAATATGAGACTGGATATGTTAATTACTGACTCATACTCAGGACACAGCTTTGAGAAACTATGGCAACTTAATTTTTACTATATTATAAATGGAAAATATTGCATAAAATGTGGTAAGGTGAATATGATGAATGTGATTGTATTTTTTCCTTTGATTTTAATTGGTTCATTAAAGTAACATTTAGTATGCTCTCAGATGTTGACAGTGTTCCAGAGACTTCTAGAATTAAATCATAAAAATCTCACAGCTCTCCAAGTCAGGCATTAGTGTCACCCTCATTAAGTTAGACTTTCAGAGCTTCAAGTTACCATGCTAGAATGGGATGCCCACTTCTCAGAAACTATATATGGACAGTGTATGAGAATGAAAAATTCACATTAGAAACCAATCAGTGATCAATACTACCATCAAGATGCTGCAATGATTGGTTTCTGGCTGTAAATGAGGGAATGCGGTAACAACAGGCAGCAGTAAGACAATCAGCAGGAATGTGACAAGCGCAGACATTACTGTTGTGAACAAGGGTCATGTTCATCAGACTCTGGAATTTTGTGCATAGGATGTTTCATGATTTAGGATTGATCTGTGCTATATTAAATGTCAATTGCGACTTGAACACTTTGTAGTAATCAATAGATTAACTTGTAGGAAAACATGTCAAAGGTTGCCCAAATATTTAAATTTTTCCTGAAAACAAGCTTTTCTTCTAAAAATGTCCTATTTTTCATTCTGGATTCTTTGTCTGTGAAGCTCTACCACTTTGGTGAGAGAAGAAGGTTTCCAAGGATCAGAAAGAAGCATTGGTTCAGCCACGAAAACGCTCTTCGGCATGTTCACCCCGCTTCTTGGAAGTCCTGGCTTCAGTCTCAGCTCTTTCAGTCCTGACTCCTGATAAATGTGCACCCCAAGAGGCAGACATGGAGCCTGAAGTACTTGGGTGTCGGCCACCGAAAGGGAACACGGGATCCAGTTGAAGGGTCTGCGATTCAGCCTGGACAAACTCTGGCTCCTGCAGGCATTGGGGAGTGAAGCAGCAATCTCCTCTACCTTTCTAATAAGAAGTTAAAATAATAAATTAGGGAAAAATTACTATTTTGCAGTTTCACACGTGGCTTCCAGTGTTTGCAAAGTAATATGCTGACCCACCATCGCGGCACAGCAGCTAAAGCTGCCACCCACAATATCATTACTACAGACGGGTGCTGGTTCTTGTCTGTGCTGCTCCACTTCCAATCAAGCTCCCTACTAACGGCTCAAGGAAGCAGAAAGCCTGGCACGAGTATTTTGGCTCCTGCCCAACACGGGACACCTGGACGAAGTTCCTAGAGAAACAGCAGATGGAAGATTCTCTCTCTCTCTCTCTGCTTCTCTGTTTAATTCTTTTAAATAAATCAAATAAATAAAAGCTAGATATTCTTAAAAGGGATATATCATAAAGGAACTAAAAATGAGTTTACTGAAATTAGGTTTTTAAAGTATAAGGTTGAGTAGTATTTACCTAGAACAGAATTTGAAGATCATCATGGATAATTTTATTAATGCCGGAGTCATTGAAATGTTACTAAAATTTTGGACAATCAAAAAGTACTATAAGCCTTGCCTAATAAGCAATATAAAACTTACATAGTAATTTGCTATGATATCAAAATTTATAAAATTGAGGCCATAAATTTCTTTTTTTTTTAAGATTTATTCACTTTTATTACAAAGTCAGATATACAGGGAGGAGGAGGAGAGACAGAGAGGAACATCTTTCATCCTATGAGTCACTCCCCAAGTGACCGCAATGGACGGTGCTGCGCCGATCCGAAGCCAGGATGCAGGAATCTCCTCCCGGTCTCCCACGCAGGTGCAGGGCCCCAAAGTCTTGGGCCGTCCTAGACTGCTTTCCCAGGCCACAAGCCGGGAGCTGGATGGGAAGTGGAGCAGCCGGGATCAGAACCGGCGTCCATATGGTATCCCAGGTGCGTTCAAGGTGAAGACTTTAGCCGCTAGGCCACGCTGCCGGGCCCAGGCCATAAATTTCTTTAATAAAGTGTAAATACTTACTATGTGAAGTAATCAATAGTATTATCATTAAAAAGAAGTAAATTCAGAAAATAAATGTTTTAATTATGGTACTATCAACTATCCATTTATGAATTTGATAATTAGCTTGTAAATTATTTTAATGGTCACATATATTGAAATGAATGAATAATTAAAATGAATCATTACTTGTTTTTTGTATTTGCTTTACTCTGCTTTTCATTTTTATTAATCATGCATTGTTGGGCTCGGCGCAATAGCGTAGTGGTAAAGTCCTTGCTTTGAATGCGCCAGAATCCCATATGGGCGCCGGTTCTAATCCTGGTGGCTTCACTTCCTATCCACCTCCTTGCTTGTGGCCTGAGAAAGCAGTCGAGGACGGCCCAAAGCCTTGGGACCCTGCACCCGCGTGGGAAACCTGGAAGAGCTCCTGGCTCCTGGCTTCATATTGGCTCAGTTCCAGCCGTCACAGCTGTTTGGGGAGTGACTCATCGGATGGAAGATCTTCCTCTCTGTCTCTCCTCTCTGTATATCCACCTTTCTAATAAAAATAAATAAATCTTACAAAAATAATAATGCGTTGTTGTTTTTGTCTAAAGTAACTCTTCATAATGCCTTTTTATAATATATCTGCAGGAGTCAAACATTTTTTTGTATGTTTATTTATGAGGCAGAGTGATAGAGACACGTAGCGGGAATGAGCTTACACTGCTGATCGGTTCTCCAGCTTCACTGGAACCCGTTTAGTCACGTGGCTGACAGGGACCTGATCTCCTGGGCCATCTCATGAGGCCTCAGGGTCTATGTTGGCAGAAAGCTGGAGTGAGGAGCCAGAATCAGACATGAAATCCGCATGTCCAGTCTGACAGGTGGCGTCTTAACTCCTGGACCCAATGCTTGCCCATGTAGGATTTCTTTGCATGTCCTCCTTTAGGATAGATTCCTAGAAATGGGATTGCTGAGCTCTGAAAATTTTTCTTAAGAGATTTGTTTGTTTGTTTGTTTGTTTACTTAACTAAAAGGCAGACTGAGGGACAGGGAGTGGAGATGGCAGGGTGAGGAATTGTCCATTTGCTGGTTTACCCCACAAATGACAGCAGCGACAAGGGCTGGGCTAAGCTAAGATCCGGATCCAGGAACTCCGTCTGGGTGGCAACTGCGCGTGCATTCAGGTCATTTCCCACCGCCTTCACGGGCACATTGGCAGGAACCTGGACAGGAATGAGACTCAGGGTGGGCTTGGAACCCTAACGTGAGACGGCACCGTTGCAAGAAATAGTCTTGCCATCTCTGCAGTACAATACCAGACCCTGACCGACTTTTGCACTCCTTGAAAACATCACTGATTTGCTTTGTTCAAATATTTTGTCCTGTCATTGCGTGACTTTCAAATGTTAGGGACAATTTAGGATAAAGAATTGTTTAATATTAGGAGACCCAGAATTTTCTTGAAGTTACAGAAAAGGAAATGGGAGGCCATTTGACACATGTCTGACTCACCCATTTGATTTCTCTGTTCTCACTTTGATCCTCATCCATAGAACAGCCTAGGCTGATCGCCTCTGTGTGGTCTCTTCATGAGTCTCCACTTTGTGTCTAAACCTTGGGAACAGCAAAGAAATGACCCTGCAGCTTTCCAGGCTACATTTATGAGAGAAACATTCTTATTACTCACACTATTATTAGGTTCTAGAGAGAAAAATGGGGTTCCTGGTGGTCCATGCTCATGAATGCATGGGTTTGCCCCAGGTGCCTTCAGACCTTTGTAGACAAGAGCTAGCTTATCCTTTACAACACACGTACATGTGCCAGAAACTACCATGGTATGCTAGTATACTTACTGTAAAACTGACCGTTACATTCTCAATGTCTCTGATCAATATTAGGGCTTTATTAATACAGCAGGATAATGGCATTTTTGATTCACAGTATGCTGTCATTTTATACCTGTCTCAGCTACTTATATTTATATAGTTTTCTTACTCGAGTCTTTATTTTGACTCTTTCTAAGTGCCATTCAGGCCGGTTTCTTGTCAATTTGTGTGCTTTGGGAATATGCTAGCAATTTTCATTATTTTATACTTAAAACTTTCCCAATATCTTCCTAATATGCTGGACTGAGATATACATAGCATTTTCTAATTTTAAATTTTTTAAATCAATTTTATCTTACTTTTGTAATTTTTCACCTTTAGAAATACTCTTAACATTTTATGTGATTATATTGTTTCTGTAACTCATTTATACTTTCTTAGATGGAAACTGAAACCTAACACCACTCATTTTGAAAACTGTTAGACAACTAACAAGAAAAATCTAATTGAATTACGGTGACAAAAGAGAATACAAAGAAGAAAAGTCTTGCCCAGGAATATCTGTTAACCAGATCATGTTTAAAACTCAGAATTTAGGGGAAAAAATGAATTTAAGATGTTTGCTCACTATTTTAAATGCTGAACAATAGAGACAGAGTGGGGTATACACCAGGAACCTCTCGGGGACGTGGCACCTGTTGGCTCACTGCCTAAATG